AAAAACTCTGTAAGAGGACAACGTACCCAGGCGGAACAGAGCCGGACGCTGTCATAGGTGAAAACTAGCTGTGCAGTGCCCCACGCCCCTACCAGTGGCAAAAACTACCTCCTACCCAGAGACAAACAAGGACAACAAAACCCGAGCTGACCCCAAGGGCAGCCCAGTACCGAGCAGTAAAGGGCACAGTGGAGGTAGAACCCAAGGTGACTTGTGGAAGGTGGCCCCAAGCTCCAAGGGCAGTACTTACAGGGCACCTAAAGAAGAGCCCCCTAGGCGCATGCAGCCAGAGTACCATTGAATCTCATTCCTGGCTCACCCCACCGGTAGAGACAGCCCACACCACAAGGCACTGAACTGAAACAAAACCGGAGCCAGAGGCACTCGACTGGCCAGTAATCACATCAGCCAAGAATTGACGGTTGGATTGCCAGCGCAGATGGTCTGGGGCTCCCCCTTCCCCCTCCTGGGGGGGGGGGGGGTGCGCAGACGGCGGCACGGCGACGTGATGATGTCATGATAGTTTGATAATTTTGTTTTTAAGAGTTCTGTCCACTCGTTCGGCTTTCGGTAGTAATATTTTCACCAGAATAGGAGTTTGTTTTGGGGCGCCTACCTTTCTGGGTGCCTGTCTTGGTCGATGGCAGACATAGAATGCTCCCAACCACAGGGAGGTTTCTATAGGCCATTGCTCCTCGTGCCTCTGTGAGGGGGCCAGGTTCTGGCTCGTGGTCCCTGGTAGGCAAAACTCCAAGCACTTTCACTGATGCCAGGAAGTTATACATATCCACTCAGCCTGGATAGCTCCGGGGAGCCGACGGGGCTCCCCCCAGAAACTATATTATAACAGACAAAGTATGGTTTTCGATCTGGAAGATCAAACATAATGAATTTACTCAGTTTCTATGATTTGAGCCACTGAGATTTTACAGGAAAGAGATGGTTGGGTTGATTGCATCTATCTGGACCTAAAAACCAACGTTGAATGTAATGAAATGTCATTTTCTGAGCCCCGGAGGCTCCCCAAAGCTAACTGGGCTTATATGTATGTATTAGACCATGGCATCAGTTGATTGGAGTTCTTACCCACCAGGGACCATGAGCCAGAACCTGGCCCCGCTTAGAGAGGTACGAGGAGCAATGGCCTATGGAAACCCTCTCATATTTGGAAGCATTCCATGTCTGCCATCGAGCAGGGTTTGGCACCCAGTAAGGTAGGCGAAACAAAACAAACCCCACAGTTTGGGAAGACGGTCTTCTCACAGACATAACAACACAGGATAAAAACTCACACTTGTATCTTTGTGAAATTTATGTAAAAAATTTACACCAAGTCTCTTGCACTCTCCTGAGTGCTTTGTCAAGGTCTGAGTGTGTTTAGAACAAGACTTACATCTCAATGTCTAATCACACACTCAGACCTTGATAAAGCACTCGGGAGAGTGCGAAATATTTGGTGTAAATTCTTTACATAAATTTCACAAATACACAAGTGTGGGTTTTTATCCTATGATATCAGTCATGCTGCAGCATTTGTAAAAGCCAAATTGAGAGAGACAGAGAGGTAGCACTAGTGTTCTTAGAACCACATTAGACAGACCTTGACAATACATTCAAAAAGCTTGCAGATGCAACTACTGTACATGTGTTCGAATCCAGGTGGGGTTTGTAACATGAGAATTTACCGTGTCAATGAGGTGCTTAAAGATCAGTACATCATCAAGGCATATGTTCATCATTTTGGCACATCTGTGCCAGATAAGTACGACGGGCTCACCATAGCCCGTGCTACTTGGAACTTTTTGTTCAGAGTAGCCGTATCAAAAACAACAACAAGCATCGTGACAAAGATCAAGATACTTGGGCCACATAGCGGGGCCAAACAAATCTTGGAACATAGCACCGTTAAGAAGAATCAAGCATGTACGAGCGCAGCGGCAGTGCCATTAATCCCCATTATAAAGGAGAGGGGGGGGGGGGATGTAAAAAGGCACAGTTGTCACAATGGAAGACCACTGGGGGCTTGGGGGTTTAACTCTGCTATTGAAGTGGGAGGGTAACAGAGAAAGTAGAGGGAAGTCAGAGATGAAGCCTGGTCTGGGCCCAATGTGGCCAGGGCTTAGGAGCCCCACCTTCCATCACAGTTCAGCTCGGGGGGACCTGGTGACCCATCACACGAGTCTAAGGAGAAATAGGGTCAGAAATTAACATGTATAAAAACAACAGAGAAAGTCTTCAATGTCCAACACCCCGACCCACCATGGGGCAGTGGAAGAGCTAGTGCTTATTGGTCGAGGTGTGCGCATTCCTGAATTCAAGTACTCCTACTGAAGAAATAAATATGGTTCCACAATCCTATAGTGTCTCTTACTAGACTAGAATCTCAAAGAAGAATTGTAGTGGATCTCCAGACAAATGTATTTGAGATAGCCAAGTGCTCCTGCTTTTGCCAAAGTAATCAATTTAGGCTTATGAGGTTCATTTTAAGGAGTTTGTAGTGACCACTCATGTTAACAATTGCCACAGGAATTACTGTGAAGCCATAACTGCCAAAACTGTGCTGAATGTCAAAATATACCTAGAAAAGATAATTAGGGCAAATGGGGAACCTTCGACAAGCCGCCTGCTTGCTGTCTTCATCGAGGCCACTAGGGTTAGTGGCCCTCAGGTAAATCATGACTGAAAATGTTACCATCTTCCAACTGCCACTTCTGCTACAGAAAAAGAGTATGAATGTCTTACCTTTTGGGAGGAAAGAGGAGGAGGCTTAAGTTTTCCTCTTGGCTGGATGAAAGAGGTATAGGGAGCAGGATTGTTGTTGCAATTTAGTCGATGTCTTCACAAGTTTCAGATATTGGAGGATGTTGGGGTAAATATCTGCAGTGGTTTGGATTGAAACAGGAAGGTGAGGGTTGTGTAAGTTATTACCAAAGTGTACAGTCAGTAAATGTAGTGACAATTACCTAAGCATAGCTACAGGATAAGAGCTACACCCGTGGTGTCCCATCTTCCCAGTACTCTGTCATAGAGCACTTTGAAACTACTGATGGTTTTAGCCTCCACCACCTTCTCATTTAACTTGTTCCAACTGTCTACTACTGTTTACAAAGGAAAAGTTTTCTTTTATCTTCTAGTTGTGGCATGTTTAATGCCTTTAGTCTCCCCTCGTAACTCATTTTTCAGTTCTGGAAGCCATTTTTTAGCATGCCGTTGCATCTTTTCCAGTTTATTTATGTGCTTCTTGGAATTTTGGCACCATACAACTGCTGCATATTCCAGTTTTGGTCTCACAAGTCATGAACAGTTTTAGTATTTCATCATCCATGTAATTAAAAGTAATTGTGAAGTTGGAAAGCACAGCATATACTCCTCACACAATGTTCTTTGTGTTCCTCTGGTGACAGTCTATAATCCAGAACCATCCCTAGATCTCTTTCTTTGTTAGAGTTCTTCAATTCTTTTCCACATACAGTAATTGTATGTGCTGGGGGAGGAAATAGCTAAGAGAATTAATCTATGAGAACAGATCTAGGGAAATTTCAACCAAAAAGAAAAGAAATGAATGGGATATGATTACATCATACAAGATACCAAGGAGAATAAATAAAAATAGACAAAGATAGCCTCTTTAAATTAGGGGAAAAAAAAAGACAAATTCCAAAGGAACTGAAATGTAAGGAAATGCTCAATTCCTGGTATGGGTAACCAACAAGTCCAATGCACTGAAAGGAGAAGTGGAAGCTACCTTCAGCCACAACTTTAATGCCGCATTTGAGAAAATTCTAACATTAGGGAGCCAGTCGGCCGAGCGGACAGCACACTGGACTTGTGATCCTGTGGTCCCGGGTTCAATCCCGGGCACCGGCGAGAAACAATGGGCAGAGTTTCTTTCACCCTATGCCCCTGTTACCTAGCAGTAAAATAGGTACCTTGCTGTTAGTCAGCTGTCACGGGCTGCTTCCTGGGGGTGGAGGCCTGGTCGAGGACTGGGGCCGCGGGGACACTAAAGCCTCGAAATCATCTCAAGATAACCTCAAGATAGTAAAGTTAAATTAAAATGTATGAGGTACAAGGCCTTACAGAAGTTAGTCATGAGGCCTAATTTCTGCATAGTCACTGTTAGGTAGGCAGCAGGAAGTCCGTACTGTGTACGTTTCCCTGTAGGCAGGAAGAGTTGCTGTACACTCATGTGAGCCAAAAACTGTTTGTTGTGCATTTCTTGTAGGCGAAGAAAGTTCGTTATGTATCCCTCCTTTAAGTAGGGTTGTGTTTGTCATCTCATCTTTACTTGTCACTCAAGCATAAATAAATCTTCACAGTATACTCTGAAGATACAATTGCTATTCTTTACAGGGAACCACAAATAATAATATACTAAATAAATTGCCATCTCTTGATTTATATCAATTATAATATAAGAATTATATCAACAACAACATATTTATAAATGAACGTAATAAAATGAAGACTCGGATGGTGACAAAACATTCATTCAAAAGAGAAAGGGCACAACTTCCTTTTGCCACTGGATTTGCATACTTGCCATAATATTGCCGTCTGGTGTAATATGTTACACATAATTGTGGCACCGTCTTCATTAGCTTGATGCAAATTCATTGGTAAGAAAAGTGTGTCCAGCAATCAAATTTTAAACAACTGCTACTGCCTTTTTTCAGTATTTGTTTTGAACAAATAAAAAAAAACCTGCCCGAAACGCTATGCGTGTTAGTGGCTTTGGAAGAACGTAAAAATACCAATATTGTGTAATCTCACAAACCCATTGTACCTCCTTGTAAATAAATTATTATTATTCTTATTATTAAACAGTATATACTAATATACTAGTATTACCTATACATTTTTATCAAAATTGTAAAAAATAAAAAATTGTGATTCACGGTTTTTAAACAAAAATGGAAAACATATAGAATAGGCATAATACCTGTAAAATTATTAGTATGTAATTTAAACACAAGAAAAAAAGGACATGAAACTGTCAATTAAAACTAATATAGTTTTATTGACATCACAACACTGTAAGCAGTTTCTACAGTCTATGTCTATACAAAGAGCCACACTTCATTTGATTTTGATCATGTACAAAATGATTTCAAAACCATAATGCGGCACTTGTGATGTGGCACTGCAAGATGTGCATCAATAAAGACTCCTTCCAAACGCAAACAATATCAAACTTTCATTATGGAAATCTATAAAATTGTCGCTGAACACATTGAACTAATCACCACACAACCTGTCCTCACTCGTAAATGTACAGCAATTTTGACCCTGTCTACATCAAAACCACAGTACCTAATTGAAATTAACAGCACTGTAATAGTGATGCTGTATCTGACTAATGGGCATGAGCAACAACAAGTTTGGGAGGTCTCTCAGATTCAAACACTTCTGGTCAGGCAAAAACTGCTTCAAATTTCACACTTGATCAAATTGTGAAAACGGGTTGTGGCACAATACACCGTACTGGGATAGGAGAACAACTTTACCGATACACTATCTAGCACAAATTTGGCTGTGTGTTGCCTTACATGTGTTGCAATATATCCTGCTTACACAAACTATAACACAATATACTAATTACATGGTATATTCACAAGAACAATGAATCTACCAAAATAGAACATTTATTATTCTAAACTTTGTATATCAATATCTAACAGTTTTTTATCTAGGTCAATATGTCTCTATTATCCATATACATATTTATATCATGTCACATTATCATAAGTACTCAACAAGCACATATGAGCCAAAAGCAACAAGAACTCCAGAGAAACCATCAATAAACATTCAGAATCAAACAAACTGTGAACAAAAAATGGAATAAAGTTAAGTCTGGCTATATTAAACTTATAGGCATCAAAAACTGCTTTGGCAGAACAAAATAAACATCCCATTCCATAACATTTGATATATTTCAGGTAGTCTCCATACTCCAAATTACAAACACCTATAACCTGAATGTGGAAGCAGCAGTCTCTGTAAGCACACAATATGTATGACTGAATCAAATAAACAACCAAATGTTTCAGAGGAAGCACAATACAGTACTACTACAAAAAAGTTTCAACAATGCAGCACACACAAACTTGAACACCCATGCCATAAATTAACTATACCCGGCAGACGTCTAACTTTCGTTTTCTCAAAGATTGCCTTTGCTACCCTTTACAAAGTTTACAGAATAACTGAGCTCAACAGATCATTTTCGTAAAGAGGGGAAAATGCTAAAAATAATTACTATTTAGTTCGGCACACTGCTGACACGCATGCCATTGACACTGACATGTACAGCTGACACATGGCACTGACACATGCCACTGACATGTCCACCTGATGCACAAGCCACTTATGCACAATAAGAGAGGTTAACTTTATAATCAGTTTTTACTATGAAATCTGGTCATGCTGGTTAGTTAAATGCTTCATACTTAAATGTTTCCCATTAGCTACTGTGCGTCACTGTTATTACTTCACTAATACAAATGACCACACGTTAATACACCTTAAACGTGCAAACCTTGTTTTGAAAATGCTGTAATGACAAAATTCAAAAGGAATGCCTGCAATACTAATTGCATTTTTCTAGAAAACTTTTATGCACTGAAAAGTCCTGCAACCTTTTTTGAGCTATGTAAGAGTAATATTTTCCTTAATGATGGGTTTGTTTTATCAAAAGAGCACTCGACGTAAATAATATTACAAAGTACGTTAACAAAAATTACATTGTGTTTGCTGGCTAAGTACATTACTATAATTTAATATGCGGCCCAAATAAAATAATTTCCAAACAATATCTAAAAGACAAGTTTTTTTTTTTTTTTACTTTCACATTAATTAATACAAAACAAATTTAGGTTAAAGACAATTGCATTAAGTTAATAACTGGTTGGGTGACCATGACCCACCTTGCTAGGGAGGAGACGGGAGTATAACAAGCTTCCAGTCACAGAGAATGGGAAATCAAACAAAATATAGGGGGTGGAAGTGCATGAAACATGAGCTTTAAATTGCAAATTTACCTGAATTTACCCGAGGGTCATCATCTCTAGTGCCTCAAGAAGTACAGGAAACTGGTGGCTTGTTAATGGTCCTCTCAATGTTCTTGATTTTTTCCGGCACAATTTTGAACAGTATTTATGATCTTGACATTATAGCTTCAGTGGGTAGGTGGTTCCAGGTGACCTTACGTTGTTGCTTGACAAGTGTGAAGCCATTGCCCGTGCCAGTTATGTTGAAAATATGAAATTGTTACCCTGTTCAAATTATTTACAGGCTGTATAATATAAAAAGCCCATTATCACACTATTTTAAACATTTCTTTTAACCTCTGCATATCACGTCTTAAGCCGCTTGACAGGTAGTGCACATATTTTGTAATTTAGCAATGTTTTAATGTTTTTTTCACTAATTTGAAATAAAAATTGTAGAGTTTGGCAATATTTTGACATTTTCTCGTTTTTGTAAAGTTTCAGTTAATGTTAATAATTCATTAACAACTACACCATGACTTTGTCACATGAAACAGATGCAGAGTGCAGGGGTTAAACACGAGTTGGGGTAACATTTCTCTTTAAAGATCCAGATCATCAAAATAGTTCATTATTGGGGATGATGCGTGTTAAGCCAACAACTGACCACTTCAGAATGCAACTCACAAGTCGCCTAACTCTTGGATACCTATTTACCACTAATTGAAAAGAGGCACCTGGTGTAAGGAAACCTTGTCCTAACATCTTGAACTGCCTGAAATTCGAACCCTGTACCAATTTGGTTGTGACCCAACTGTGTTAATTATTGGAAAAGTTTCAGATTTCATGAACTCACGTGTAAATGCATTTAGCATTTCTATGAAATATGGTACCCTGCAATATTTTATTAGGCAAGTAGAAGGCTATGAAAATACTTGTGTGATGGTAGATGCATGAACATACTGAGCACAAAAACGTTTTTGGGTAAGAGAAGGGAACAATCAGGAAAAAGCGCCAAGCTATTACAACTACTGTATATATATAGCACTTGGAAGGTATCAGGATAAGGATTTGGGATGGGATGGGGAAAGGAATGGTGCCTAATCACTTGAATGGTCGGGGATTGAATGCCGACCAGCATGAAGGGAGATCATCACTCTTCTGTCCACCAGGAGGCCTGGTTGAGGACTGTGCCGCAGGGACGTTGAGCCCCCAAATCATCGCAAGGCAGGTCCAGTGCAAGTGATTGGGTGATTTTTGGGCAAGTAAAATGTGTTTTTATGGTGTGTCAATGTACTGCTCTTGCTATGATGCCACTGGTTGTAGCATGAGGTAATGATGAAGAGTTGAGCTGGCAACTGTACAATGATATTGCTATTCGTTGTCGAGGACTGAAGACCTAGGCGTATGTATGTCCCCATAAGCTAACACTGAACTTTCTGAAATGTAACTTTCAGTAACTTTCACTGAAATGCAACACACAACAGCTACCAACTCACAAGAATCTGTTTACTAGGTGAACAGAGGTATTAGATGTAAGGTAATATGCCCAAACATCTCGTGCCGAAATCAAATTCACGACCATTTAGTCATGAACAGACTGCTCTGCCCACTATGTTTTATCGTACATTATTTTGTCATTAAAGGTAACTAAATTGGTTCATGTCTATTGACTACTGATTGAGATAGATATTTATCATGATACTGGGTATAATAGCATTGTTCATTTATGATGATGAAAAATAAGAGATTGAAAATACTGTAGTGATATTGAAATTCTTGGTCGTGATTTAACAGTAAGCTGGATAATAATGGCAGACTGGGAGCATTCCAAGTCTCTGTGTGTGTGTCTGTGTGTAATTACCTAAGTGTAGTTACAGGATGAGAGCTACGCTCGTGGTGTCCCGTCTTCCCGGTGTGTGTGTACATAACGTTTACTGTGGGCACTCCTAGTAGAACACATACTAGGTGAGTACGTACTATTACAGCAACCTGCAAAATATATTTCTACAAATGTTTATATGTGCATTTCTTAATTAGCTTAATATAAGCCAAGTTTCTCATCATTCATTATTTGCACCGTCAGCAAACGGAGGACTTTCCCTCTTCTCGCCTTCAGTGATCCCTCGGAACAATACCTGCGTAGTTTCAGTACAGTATATTGAAAATAGTATTTATACCCCCACTATTATCATTTTCTATATATTATCTGTGTCTAAATATGCATAAACATGTATTGTATCAAGATGAATCTAAGAAATTTGGTGGTAAATAGGCACACTGCAAATTCTCGGACAGCTGGATTTCACACAAATCTGCATTGGGTCTGGAATGATATAATCCTGATTTTGGTGGTGTCTGCATAAAAAAAATTACGAGTGAAAGAGAAGATAATTCCACACCAACTTTATAAACCATAATGTATCGCATTTTGCAGCACATATGATGCATGTTTTTCTTGTCTATCGCCAAATTTATGTTTTATTTACATTCATAAAATCATGTTTTTTTCCAACAAAACCATTTAAACATCGCTTTCAATAAATGTACAATGAAACGTTAAAAATTCATAAACCCTTGTAAAATAGGTGTGCATGTATACATGGCAAATATAGTAATCGTCTTGCTCATTAATGTATTCTACAAATCACATTTACAGTAACCGAGTAGATTTAGAAATTATGCTCGAAATGCAGTGTGGTATTTAAGCATTAAGTCAAGTACAGGAGCCTATTAGAGTATCAAGTGCTGTGATATCACCAGAAACCAATTTATTTTACAGTCCAGTCCCCCAATTACTGCTGGGTACACAGGTGCAAATAGTGAAGGTATGGTGATCAATAATCCCACCTGATCCAGGGTCTCAATCTGGATGTTGTTGCTTGCAAGGTGTGCAGGTGAGGACGTGTAACTGCTACACCACAGGCTGCTGCATCGTGCACCATAACAAAACTATCCGTTAAACACTAAAGCACGAGTTTACTATTCTGTTCCCTCTAGTGTAATTTGGTATTGGTGAAATTATATCTTAAAAAATTACTTTGGAATGCATTACAAAAATAGCTTTATTTTCAAATTAGCCCACATCTTGAGCTTCAATTAGCAAACTATTAAAGGGAACCGCAATACTCTAGAAACTTTTGAATAACCTGAATTTAGTTAATTTACAATTCAATCACTTAATGGTATAACTGAGCAAGTGAAAACCAGGGTTACGAGTAATTTACTGAATGTATCACTATGACAATATCTAGGACAGAACTCCATTCAAGCAGAGATCTATTTTGTGTATAGTCATTGTGCAAGAATCAAGTGCTTGTATTTAGTCGTCACGCAAGAATCAAGTGCTTGTATTTAGTCGTCACGCAAGAATCAAGTGTTTGTATTTAGTCGTCACGCAAGAATCAAGTGTTTGTATTTAGTCGTCACGCAAGAATCAAGTGTTTGTATTTAGTCGTCACGCAAGAATCAAGTGTTTGTATTTAGTCGTCACGCAAGAATCAAGTGTTTGTATTTAGTCGTCACGCAAGAATCAAGTGTTTGTATTTAGTCGTCACGCAAGAATCAAGTGTTTGTATTTAGTCGTCACGCAAGAATCAAGTGTTTGTATTTAGTCGTCACGCAAGAATCAAGTGTTTGTATTTAGTCGTCACGCAAGAATCAAGTGTTTGTATTTAGTCGTCACGCAAGAATCAAGTGTTTGTATTTAGTCGTCACGCAAGAATCAAGTGTTTGTATTTAGTCGTCACGCAAGAATCAAGTGTTTGTATTTAGTCGTCACGCAAGAATCAAGTGTTTGTATTTAGTCGTCACGCAAGAATCAAGTGTTTGTATTTAGTCGTCACGCAAGAATCAGGTGTTTGTATTTAGTCGTCACGCAAGAATCAAGTGTTTGTATTTAGTAGACACGCAAGAATCAAGTGTTTATATTTAGTCGTCACGTATGAATCGGGTTTATATTTAGTCGTCACGTATGAATCAGGGGTTTATATTTAGTCGTCACGCAAGAATCAGGGGTTTATATTTAGTCGTCACGCAAGAATCAGGTGTTTGTATCCAGTGTCGTCCATCACTTTCCAAAGTGTGACCATTTTGGTCATCAGCTGTACAGTAATATGTTACCCCATATGACAAGCTTCGTTGATACATGAGGTACAAGGTAAAGGATAATGAATAAACCTATGTGCATGCATCAAATAAAATGAAAGTGAATGATGTTTCAGTCCATTTTGGACATTTATCATCTCATTCCATGACAGGTTTAAGGGTTTATAAGGGTTTAAGACAGACCGAAATGTTGTCACTTATTACACAAGTGTGGGCTGGTTTCTTTCAACAATGCTATTCCGAATTATTCGCTGCAAGGTCAACGATTTTTATAGTTACCCCACTCAATAGGGATGGAACTGCCAAAGGTTACTTCATCAACAATACATACGAGGAAACACATGCTTAGCACATCCAACAATAACACACCTTCCTAGATGTAGAGCTAATGGAAATTAAGTTTTCCAGCGTGTGAGTATGGATTTACCCCGTGTTCTTTGCAAAAACTAACTAACAGACCCAAAATGATAACTCGTACTTCCCATTAACATATTAAGCTACATAATATGTGATATCAAATGCTATGGCTGACTTTTACCATAATCATTTAATAACAGCACATAGGCTGCAAATATTATTTATTAGATATTTCATATCATGGTCTATAGTGGTCAATTATTTTGTGTATTAATATTAAACGAAGAGTACCAAACTTAAAGGGAGATACTGTCAGAGCACAGTGGTCAACATCCCCACCTCCAGGCATATTCTGTACTATCATAGATGAACACAAAGCTCGCTCCATAGCTACCGCATCACCACGGGTTTGGGTGGCACAGTTCGCACGTCACAAATTACACCTAACTACCCGATGGTGACACAGCTACACCTGCCTCCACAATGGTAAAATGCTTAGTATTTTGACTCTTCCATTTCACAACTCTTGTAACAAATTCAACATTTAGAACTGCATTGATGTGTGGCTCTAATGTACAGCTTTCCAAGCTATTCCATTCTGTGTAATACATTAATACAGTCCACATCTACACTTGGTTGCTGAGGAGTAACATAGAAAAATCTGGGCAAAAGAGAGTAATGTTATGTTGAATTAATATTAATAATAGCATTCATTTCATGTTGATTAAATGGTACTCGAGCATGTTAAATGTTGCCTGCAGGGGTGCATTCATTGAGCAACAAACTAAGCATTTACCCATTTTGAACACAGTCCAACTACCGTATACCAGCTGCAAACTAGTCCAATGTCGCACATAATACTATTCTGTTACTATCATAACCACAGAACAGTTATAATCCAAGGACTCCTGACATTAAGTCTTCAACATGGGATGTCTATAAGGCTCAAATTTCTAACAATTGCCTTTTTAAAGCACTATCTAAGGCTTAAATTAGCTAAGAACACCACATGAGCGAAGCATCACCATCAACAACACCCTGGTGAAGGTTCCGGGTTGAAAACATCGCATACGCGAAGCATTGGCATCAACGAACTCCCTGGTAGATGTTCAGGGTTGGAGAACATCTTCATGAATGCTCTCTGGAGTGGAACACTTCCAGCCTTCTTATGTCAGGTCCCAAGTAATGAAATCATCCAGAATATATACAACGCAACGTAATAAGAACAAAGTACCGCCGATTTACACCAACTGACGAGTGTTCTCGAGAACTTGGCTTCTTCCCATTTCTTTGGGAACGTTCGCATCTTGCACGTAAACAATGATACACAATAAATAACATTTCACTAAAAGCTCAGAAGCATAGTTATTTTTTTTAACTAGTTAATAATACTTTACAGAAAGGCCTTTACTTTATTAACTTAAGTGCGCATTACATTATTTGGGCTAACAAGTGCATTATGTAACAGTTCCCCTTCCTTATCCACGAGTCTCATAACCCCCCCCCCTTTATTCAACAATTTCACCCTCCTTTATTCAACAATTTCACCCGCCTTTATTCAACAGTATCCCCTTCCTTCATTATACATCCCCCCATTCTTTATTCAACAGTTCCCCTCCCCCCCTTCTTTATCCAAGTCTAAATCTATTTAGACTTATTTTATCTATTTTCTTTATTGAAAAGTCTCTCTATCCTTTATCAAACAGTTCCTTGCCCCCCTTCCCTTATCCCAAACCGTTCCTCCCTCCCCTTATCCGACAGTATCCCCCCCCTTCCCTTATCCGACAGTTCAACCCCCCCTCCCCTTATCCGACAGTTCAACCCCCTCCCTTTATCCGACAGTTCAACCCCCCTTCCCTTATCCGACAGTTCAACCCCCTCCCCTTATCCGACAGTTCAACCCCCTCCCCTTATCCGACAGTATCCCCCCCCTCCCCTTATCCGACAGTTCAACCCCCTCCCTTTATCCGGCAGTCCCCCACACCTTTAACAAAATTTTGACCTTGTATTAGCAAAATAAAGAGATTCAGAAATGAAACATGTCAACAAGTCGCACAATAAAAATATATTTCCTGGGAAAATAAAGAAAGATGAAGTGTGAGGCCGGCAACCTTCAGTCTACAGAATATAACCCTTTAAAAAAAAAGAATTAAATTCATATATGTTTAATTTCAAGCATTTTTTTATCAATAAAATGAATTAAAAGTAGAATGGTGTATAAAGTACCAACTAATAAACAAGAAAAATAAGTATATCACAAGGGACCCACTTTCTAAAAGGGTTCAAAACTATGTTTAGGATAAGGAACAAAATATACATCTTTAAACAACATTGATAAAACCCTTCCATTTTCTCTCCACAAACATGGGTAATTAGCAGTTTCCAGGTCAGCAGCCAATGATCCTCAGCACGAACTCCAACCGCACTGCGGGTTACTGGTGCCACACAGCCAAGTCCACAGCTCTTGCTGCTGCAAACTGCCACTCAAGGCAACTGGGCACTGGAATCGCGTCAGTTTAAACCATTGCGTAACGGTGCTTGAACCTCACTCAAAGCACCAGCATTCGACAGCCTTGATAATGAAGTCTTCCGAGTCGGTGAGCTGCGGGTTGTTGTACGTCTTGCAAGGCTGTGTCCGTCCTTGGTACAGATCTCCATCCAACCACAAGCCAAAGTTACCACTGAAAATTTCAACACTAATGAACAGCAACTCTTTTTTTTCTTTTTTTTTTTAAATGTACACAATGTATACACAACTTACAGCTAAAGTAAGTAATTATCAAAAGAAGGCACCAAACTGGGAAGGCTATGTAGCACCATCAAAGTGCGAAATAATCAGAGGGCGCTAAATATCACCAAGAATGCCAATACGAGAACAGAAACTCATAACACGAACGATATCAAGAGTATCTGATTCACCAAGAATTCTATCGAGGGACAAGTGACCACGAGGGACAGTCGGGAAGCAAGACAAACGCTCGTCCTGGAAGTCAGGACATTCAACAAGGATATGCACAACTGTAAGAGGGACAATACAATTTGGACAATGAAGAGCAGGGCAGCGCTCCATTAAGTGACCGTGAGTCAAGTGAAACTTACAGCTAAATTAACTTATTAATAATTAAAATGACATGGAAAACAAATACTTTTTAAGCTATAATAGTTCTTGAATATGAAAGGTTGATTTTTGGAAATTGAATGTGGTTTCAGCAAGGCATTTCTAGCAAAACATAACTCCATATCACTGAACTGGAATAAAAATACATAATTCATTATCAAAAGAAAGTGCCAAGCTGGGAAGACTTTAGAACCTTTTGTGGCGAGATATTCAAAAGAATCTAAATATCAAAACCCAACAACACAGCAGAAGATGAAGAGACGACCACGTTTCGGTCCATCCTGGATCATTATCAAGTCCACTGTCGATTTAAATATCACTCGGGACCCCAACACCAGAGCAAAAGGAGGTGAGCCAAGTCAAAGATAATGGATTCACCAAGAATCTTAATGATGAACAAATGGTGGAATAAAAAAGTAACATTGGGCATAATGAAATGCTCCTTTTTTAGTGATTTTCTAGTACGGCACCAACACTGTAGGAAGACTAAACCACACACCGGAAAACAAGGAGATGACGATGTTTCGATCCTTCCTGCACCATTATAAAGTCCACTGTGATGTGGATCCCCGCATCACAATCGGCTTGATAATGGTCCAGGACGGACTGAAATGTCGTCTTCTCCTCATCTTCTGATGTGTGGTTTAGTGTTCATATCTTCAGCCACATTATTGTGGCTCATGGTCTGCAACAAACACATACCCACTCTCGACATTCCAGGTTCCTGTGATCATCTCTGCCAATTTGTGGTGGCAAGATATGGTTATTATGAGGAAAAAGCAAAAAGTCAGCATGACTATATAGCACTTAAGAAGGAATACGAGGACAAGGAGCCGACATACCATACCTGGAGAGGATCTCGGGAGAACTTCTGCTCCCCGAGCCCGGCCTGAGGCCAGGCTCGTCCAGGATAGGAAGGAGATAAGGAATAGTGCCCACCCACTCGGACCATCATGGATTAAATGACGACATGCATGAAGTGAGGCCGCCGCTGTACCGATCAGTAAAGTGATTTTGTTTTGGCAATTCAAAGGGGGATAAAGCACATGATTTTGTTTTGGCAATTCAAAGGGGGATAAAGCACATCACAGATCAAGTCACAACTACGAAAAATTGCCAACGCCAATAAGTGTCACAAAATGTAACATATGCCTGGGAATACTTGGAAATCAATTACGTACCAAACTTGAAAATCCCTAGAGCATAGAATTAAGAATATAGGAAACTGCAGAAAGCCTATTGACCCACGGAATGTAGCCTCTATTTATACCCAACAAAAACTCGGTCAGTATGTGTAATCTACACTCGAAACAATCTTAGTGATACCATGTGAATGTTTCTGGGGAATTTGTTTCACAAATCAACAACCCTATTTTCAAACCAGTATCTACTCGGGTCTGTCCTATATATACAATTCTCTAATTTGTAACCATTGTTTAGGGTTGATATTTTTAATACATTATTAATATCATCTTTGTTATATCCTTATATCCATTTGTATATTTTATCATATCACCCTTTAATCTTCACCATTCTAGAAAAGGTAAATCATACTTTCTTAACCTCTCTCCACACATGAAGTTCCTAGTTGCTTGGATTACCTTTGTCGTAATACACTACACTACACACTTTCAAGTGAACTTGTCTTCAATTTATAATACGGAGACCAAGTGAGCTGCATAATTAAAACAAGACATCTTATAGCTAATGCTTCTAGATACGAATCCCAGTATCCTATTTGCTTTATTCTGTACATTTGTACATTGATTTTTTGCACAACATCCTGATTAATCATAACTTCTAGATCTTTTTCACATTTAGGTTCTGCAATTTCTGGATTATGAACCCTACACATGGAAACTCGCTCTCAGACACTGGTAAGGGAACTTGTAAACTTACTCTCCACCTCCTACAACAAGAGATTCGTTGTTGCCTTTGACGAAGAATGTGTTCTCCCCCGTCCACGGAAACACCTGGAACTCTGGGTGGAACGAAAAGAGGAAGGACTCTCCCGTGCCATAGTATAGTTCACTCACACGCAGTGAGCAAGACACAACTGCACCAAAAATCTGTAAAAAAGAGAAGTAGAATTTTATTTACACAGTGGAATGACAAGAATGTGTTGCATTCATTACAAAATAATGAGGTCATACAAATGTGATGGAGCTAGGAATTTTTTATAAGCAAGATTATAAAGTTCCCGATTATAAAGTTACAGCCTACCTAATGCTACACTTACCTGGTTGATGGGGGTCTGGGAGTTGTTCTACTCCCCAAACCCAGCCCGAGGCCATGCTTGACTTGTGAGAGTTGGTCCACCAGGCTGTTGCTTGGAGTGGCCCGCACGCCCACATACCCAACATAGCCCAGTTGGTCCGGCACTTCTTTTAGAAAACAATCTAGTTTTCTCTTGAAGATGTCCACTGTTGTTCCGGCCATATTTCTTATAGACGCTGGAAGGACGTTGAACAACCGCGGACCTCTGATGTTTACAGTGTGTTCTCTGATTGTGCCTATGGCACCTCTGCTCTTCACTGGTTCTATTCTGCATTTTCTTCCATATCGTTCATAGTTACTTATTTACATAGTTACAACCTAAAGTTTCTCCAGCTCCTCATCCATCATAGTCTAAGATCGTTGGTCTAAAGCTCAACAGCCCAAATGCATTGTCATCATATTCAAGTACTCAATGAAAGTAACTAGTAAATAGCAAGAGTAACTGGAGTAATAAGGTAAACAATGGAAAACCATGGGTAAACATTAGGAATAACCTGATTGAGAGAAAAACCCAGCATTCAATGTAATAAAACACCACTTTCTGGGCGAGCCCTGGAGGCTTCCTGCAGTTATCGGACTGATATTAGCTATATTAGTCTTGGGCTTCAGTCATACGGAGTCCTTGTGCCTATCTGAAACCACAAGCCAGAACCTGGTTCCCCAGAGAGGCAAAAGGAGCAATGGCCTATGAAAACTTCACTCTGAGAGTTTATTCATGTCTGGCATCGACCAGGGTTAGGCACCCAGAAAGGTAGGCACTCCAAAAGAACCCAATTGATAGAAAATTGTAACCCAAGACCGAAACAGAGCCCAAGAACTCCCCTCTCAAGAAAAACAAGGTAACAAGCAAATCGTCATCAAACCGACACGCTGCGCGTCCCCCCCCCATGGAGGGGGAGAGGGAGGGGACCCCCACCCCACCAAGCAGGCCACTAGACCTCCAATTTGGAGACTGATGAAACGGAAACAAAAACCGCTGACTGGAGAGACGGAGGGTGCCAAGGAGCCTCTGGGGCTCACCCAGAAAATGGCATTTCATTACATTCAACTCTGGTTTTCCGAGGGGAGCCCCGTCGGTTCCCCTGGATCTTGATACCCAAAGATAAGTAAAAGAGGGACTTACCTCGGAGGCAGCAGCACCGCATGCCTCAAGACGAAGACGTGACAAATGGCTGCAATCGACGGCCCGAGGCCACACAAGACCGCTGAGAGCCCGGAACATTAATGAGATAATGGGCGGCTGGAACCCTGTTAGAACACCAAAACCTCCATGCCCGAGTGTCAGGCCATGACATGTTTCCAAACACAGCAGCAAGAGCCACAATCTTCCAAACATGAGTGCGAGGGTAGACTGCAGGTTGGCTAGACATGATAACCTTGCTGATGACCTGAGAGACCTGAGCCCTGGAACAGGGAATGAGGGATACCGGATCAACCCAAAGCATGTCCCCTGACACAGAAGCCGAGGAGCGCAGGTAACTGCGTAAAGTCGCAACCGGACAAAACCTGTACACCCCCAGTCTGACCAACCTACCATCAATAACCCACGGACCCCCCTCCGGAAGCCCGCCATCTCAAATTTCACCAGAAAGTAAGAAGACAGCTGCAAACGAAAAACAAAGTTACCAGGATCGAAAGAGCAAAAACTCGTGTCGGAGGAGAGCATGAAGCTCACCAACCAGACCCCAAGAGGCCAAAGCCAACATAAAGCCTTATGAAAACAATCTTGAACCAAAGGGGCCACAACAAACTGAGAAGAGAGAAAAGAGCACCCTATCCAAAGACCAGGATGGTGCAGGTGGAACATGAGCAGGCCAGAGGTGGAAAAATGCACGAGAAAGCTTACAGAACGGAGCCGATGTGACATCCACCCTGAATGCAAGCTGGAGCGGCTCTGCCAGCACCACACGATAAGAGGCGACTGTATTCGGAGGAGCTACCCAATGCCACTACCAGCCGGAGGAAACGACCCGAAACACCCACAAACTGCGGGACCAGGCGAGAGCAAACAGCATGAGCCTCCCCTACCCATCGTCCCATCAACGGGGCGAACCGCAAAAGGGTTGATGACCCTTACGAGAGCCCAATCGACGCTCAGAGCTATCACAATGCTGACCAGATGCCGAAGTCTTCACAGGAGGCGCCGGCTCTGAATCTGGCACTACTGGCTTACAACACCCAAAGGAACCATGAGCCCTGGCATGACCCCTCTGGACAGGAACCCCCCCCCCAAACGTTGGCCCGGAACCCAGCTCCTCCATATCCTCCTCAAGCCAGTCCAAAGACAGCCCCAGCAGGGACAGAAGCACAAGACTGTAGCAAAAAGACCACGAGCTCGCAAATCCTCAGCGACCAGGGACGCCGAAAGGGAGGGAACCCGCATGTTAAGCTGCACCTAGCCGACAGCGCGAGTAAGCACAGGGGCGAACAAGCACGCATTGAGGAGCTCCAACTCACCCTCCAGGTAAACCTGAACGACTGTAGTCAACTCCCGCCACTCAAGCGTGGGTGTCCGACAGAACACATGCCATGCCGGCGTGCGGGTTCGATCCCGGGCGACATCAAGAAACAATGAGCAGAGTTTCTTTCACCCTATGCCTCTGTTACCTCGCAGTAAAGTAGGTACCTGGGTGTTAGTCAGCTGTCACGGGCTGCTTCCTCGGGGTGGAGGCCTGGTCGAGGACCGGGCCGCGGGGACACTAAAGCCCCGAAATCATCTCAAGATAACCTCAAGATAACGCCGCCAACGAAAAGAAAGGGCAGCCTGCCAGGCACAAAGACTCTGGCACCTCGTAATGCACCCAGTAAGGAAAAAGAGGAGCTAAACTCAAAAGAAAAAGGATCCATTATTGAAGCATAATCCGGGTCTCGCAGAAGGTAAGCCACAATGGCCTCCCGCATCTCCCTAGGTAGGATGTGGGAAACCAAAAACCTCCGGAAAGAGGGAACCAAAGAACCTAAGGTAACCCGGGGAGGAGCCAAACTCATATCAAACTCATACAGGGAGGGGGGGATAGGAAAACCCTTTTCCCCCTGTAACAAGCCCCGCGCTGAGGGTACCAACACTCAGGCGGGGTGAAATGGAACCCAAGCCCCCCCCCCCCCAAGTCAACCATGCGGGAAGCGAGTGTGCGAGCCTGGGGCTGGTCCCCAGCCCCAGGATTCCTCCACGTGAGGACCCAGGGCAGAGTGGTAGGAAAATACCCCAGCTGACCCCAAAGGCGACCAAGCAGCAGAAGAACCCTGCGGAGACAGTTCTCGAACAGTTTGTGGAAGGTAACCTCAAACTGCAAGGGCAGTACTTACAGGACACCTAGAGGTGACCCTAGGTGCATGCAGCCCCAGTACTTCTGGAATGTACACTTTGCTCGCACACTACCTTATCACAGCACACCACCACAAGGCACAGCACTACAAGGATTATTTTTGTTATTATTATTATTTTATACCACACGTGGCCAGACATTTGCAATGCTAACCAGCATATATACATTTTCTTCTGTCCTCCATGGACAGGGTTGAGAGATCTGTTAAACATATAGTTCAGGGATTTATTGAACAATCAACCACAGAAGGCGATTGTAGTGCTTCTAAAATGCTAATCTAACGTATAGACATAAATGCATAGATACACAGAGTTACGCCTGCCCTACATAAAGTGGTCGATGTGTTCTTTACATAGCCAGAGTCAATCGACTGCCACCCAACACATCAGCCTCGGAACTGGGATTGGGTAGCTGGCACGGGAGGTCTGGGGGTTCCTCCTTCCCCCTCCCGGGAAGGGCGGAGTTGAAAAGAGATGTTGAGGGGGTCTTCCCTGCTGCCACTTTTGTAGATTGGAACTATGTTAGCCTGTTTCCACACATCTGCTATGACTCCTGTACACAGGGATGTCTGAAAAATCAGCCAAAGTGGTATGCTGAGCTTCACACACCTGTGTGTGGGAGTTATGTCCACATACCTGTGCTGAGCACTGCTTCTGATTTAATACGTAAAGCGTAACTAGGCAGTAGTACTGTCAACCTCGAGCTGTAAACATGCTTAATATATATTGCCAAAAATAAGTCTCCATAATGTGGCTGAAAACGAGCCTGGCCTCAGGTCGGGCTCGCGGAGTACAAGAACTCCCGAAATGCTCTCAAGGTACACTCCAGGTAAATAACCCGACCCACACGTATCAAACCAAAATGACATTTCTGTCTGTCCCTTGATAAGGGTATGGAATGCACTGAAATGGTGTCACTTTTATTAATTTCATTTCATATGTGGGGGTTACATTATTTTCTCTAGAAAAGTGCTTTACTTTCACTAAAATATGTTTCGACTCAATATACAGTACTCACATTTTGATGAGTATCTTGAATGAAGAGCATGATGGGTGTGTCAATCTCATTCATCTTACGATAAAGGGAGTTGAGACTGAAGCCGTGCTGGGCTGTGCTGAACACCAACTTCCACGAGTAACCTTGAGCACGAGCTGGCAACTTCTTGTACATGTTCTGCAGAACCATCAATAGATTAAAAAAATAAATAAATCACACTAATGCTTTCACAACACATGTACAGTACAAGAAGTACACACACTAAGAAGAGCAGTGCATTGCCAACAAACATGTGACAAGCATGAATAACTAAAAATCCCAATTGAATCTTGAACAAATTCTGAATTGATAAAAAACTGTATAATACTTTTGTACAAGATTTTCAATACACCTTAAAGGAAAAAAGGGAAAAGAGAAAGAAAAAAGAACAACAACAAAAGGCGAGGAGGAGATGAAAGAGGAAAAAAGAGAATAGAGGAGAGAGAAAGAGGATATATACCGAGGACACATACTTCAAGAACAAGAGGTCATAGATTTAAATTAACGACCAGAGCTGCCGAAGAAATATAAGAAAATTCACTTTCGCAAAGAGAGTGGTAGACCGTTGGAACAAGTTAAGTGAGAAAGTGGTAGAGGCCAAAACCTTTTGTAGTTTCAATGCGTTATACGACAGAGTGCTAGGAAGACGGTACACCACGAGCGTAGCTCTCATCCTGTAACTACATTTAGGTAATTACATACACACGAGCGCAAGATGTAAAAGAGAAAGAAACGACAAGGAAGTATGCTTGAAAGTCAAAACCAGAAATGACCAACAAGAAGCAGACATTTGACTAGTAATTAGGAAAGAACTGGTTACCAACAGTAAATTAGTACAGAACACTGCAGATAGAAATAAAGCCATAATAATTTTTTGGGTGTTTAGAAAAGAAAATACCATCTAGGATAGGGAGCAGCAGCAGCAGAAGAGAAAAATATCCGAGCTGTGTTTATGCGACAAGACTGGAGCGGAGCGAGGGGGTTAACAAGACTGGAGCGGAGCGAGGGGGTTAACAAGACTGGAGCGGAGCGAGGGGGTTAACAAGACTGGAGCGGAGCGAGGGGGTTAACAAGACTGGAGCGGAGCGAGGGGGTTAACAAGACTGGAGCGGAGCGAGGGGGTTAACAAGACTGGAGCGGAGCGAGGGGGTTAACAAGACTGGAGCGGTGCGAGGGGGTTAACAAGACTGGAGCGGTGCGAGGGGGTTAACAAGACTGGAGCGGAGCGAGGGGGTTAACAAGACTGGAGCGGAGCGAGGGGGTTAACAAGACTGGAGCGGAGCGAGGGGGTTAACAAGACTGGAGCGGTGCGAGGGGGTTAACAAGACTGGAGCGGTGCGAGGGGGTTAACAAGACTGGAGCGGTGCGAGGGGGTTAACAAGACTGGAGCGGAGCGAGGGTTAACAAGATTGGTTAAACATACTATAATCAACTGAAAAGCGGTTCACAATTCCATTCCAATTTAACCATGCTGCATTTGCCTTCCAAAATAAAACCACTTACATTCAGTACTTTGTTGTATAATTCAATATAATCTGTATATTATTATAATACATTACATAATTTTATACAGTATTGTAATACAGTATTACAAATTATTATATGACACATGGTAAGACTGCAGTGTAGATCAGATTGAATTGAAACTACAACAAAACCTGTATGTATGTATATATATATATTATATATTTATTTATTTTAGACTGTACTTGCCTTTCTAACAGCGTCGGTGATGATTTCTGAAACGCCACAAATTTCCGGTAAGAAGGCCTCGAGATCCAGGCTGGTGAGGGATGCTGAAGAGTACAGTGCTCTTCGCAGCTCGTCGCTCATAGATACCACCTGCCGTTGGACGAGGAAGACGTTACTTTCAGGATGACTAAATTACATTTGCATTTTACATAAAAATTTGCCAACAGAATTTATAAGCCCTTCCATATTCATGATGCAATTTTGATATTGCATTCAGTATATGGCATAGAAATTTAGAAGTTTTTGTTAATATTTACAAGTTAGGGTCTTACTGTTGAACATTTATACAATAATAAGATACTCGCTGCCTGTTAAACATTTGTAAGCTAGGCATTTATTAACATACTATACCTGGTTAAACACCATAGCATACAAAGATACATACGGGTATTTTATTTATAATTATTATATAATATATATATATATATAATTATATAAAATATAAACTAGTGCCAAAAGACCATATACAGGTTCATTGGGATAATCCAGTGATGGAAATGATTACCTCAACAATGCTTGAATGTATCTGTTGAGAACAAAACAACCCACTTCCTAGTAGTAGCAGCAGCACCCCATGCTGGGGATTTTTTATTTATTTGCTGTGCTCAACACAGCCCTGAGAACTTGGCTTAATCATGATGCCCTTAATATTAAATGGCCCATCGTCTTGCTGCCCAACCCTCACCGAACACAGGTTCATCTGCGGATGTGCGTATGCAGACCAATACGAGCAACATGGTGTTATACGTCACAAATTACAGGGTAAGATTGCAAGACATGAAGAAAGAGTCAATGACATCAAGAGGGCCTTGCCAAAACCCGCTGCCTGACACAAAGAAAACCACACTTACACAGACCCAGTGACACTCAGAATGGTGGAAACTGGGTCACCATGCTTCCCTGGAAGGCTGGCAAGCTAGTGGTCTGAAACTACACATGCACAACCACATTGGCAATTCCTACATTCAATACAGTACAATCGAAAGAGGTGGTGCTGCTTCTTCTTTCAGGGAAGCGCAAGTGGCAATCTATTACAGATGTCTGGCACATTACTACAGCTTTGTTCCAACCAGCTCAGAAACCCTCGATTCATGGAGCAAATGTGCATTGAAGTTCTTGAAAGAATTGTGCAACAAACTAATTCGAGTCACAATAGGCCAAAGAGTGACAAGTTTTTTGTTTCAGCTCCTCAGTGTCGAGGGTCTGAAGTGAAATGCAAGCTGCACGTTGGGTGTGCATCCAACCTTGGAAGAATTTAAGGTGGTGTTTGATTTGCAATACCTATCAAGTTGGTTTGATGTATCTATTAGTGAATTCTGTTGCTGTATTTTTCATTTTACTTGCAATAGCAAAGTCATGTATATGGTAGGCCACACAATGTAATCATGTACAATAAAGTTTACAATTAAAAATAGGGGTGGTAGGAGAGGTAAGTACTGTACTTAAGAAATCAGAGACAACAAATTTTCTCTGGGGCTATGGGTCCCCAAATTGCACCAGAGGTGGTACCCAGAGTGAACCTGTGTCACTCCGAGGTGATGCAGGTTTGAGTCTCCTCAGAGCTCCAGTTAATTTCTTCATCCATATATATCATGTTAGTGTGATTTCTCGGTGTATTTAATGTTGGGGCGTATAGTGTTGAACTACTTTACCTCCACCCGAGTGCTTGGGAGGGTTATTTGTAAAACTTGGAAGGGCTTCACCAGAGGTCTCCAGACCTGCTGATTCAGTAGACTCCCAGGTTGTATAAATTATACCAGGTCAGGCTGGTACAGTGGTAGAGTTTGTGACTGACAGTGCCTTTGTCACAGGTTTGAGCCACCACAGACCTCCAGTTGATTTTATAAAAAATAAATAAATAAATAAAAAATCTACATTATCTATATATTTATCTATATCTATCTTGTAGTTCCCTTGTCAGGAAAAACTCGAAGCTCTGTGACTATATATTCAAAAGGCACTGCCAAGCTTGATAGATTACAAGACAAATTTTCAGTAGTGCAAGATCATCTCATTTAGCCACTTGAAGGTCATGAATTAACATTCACTTGAATAAAATTGCAGCTCTATGTGCTGGTGTGGAATAATACACACACAAATTATGACCTACTAGAAAGCTGAATACCCGGCCCGAACACTTGTAAATAATGAATATTTGCATGCATGTCAGTACTCGTAAAGACTTACTTGAGTGACTGGTTTCCCAGCAGATGTCTTGACAGTTTCTGCTGCATCCTACATTACACTTACCTTCATGACTATGGCACCTAACTCACTACTTGTACTGTACATGTAAAGGACTATGGCACCTAACTCAGTACCTGTACTGTACATGTAAAGGACTATGGCACCTAACTCAGTACCTGTACTGTACATGTAAAGGACTATGGCACCTAACTCAGTACAGTACCTGTACTGTACCAATAATCTGCATTTCTAGTTTGTTGTTACTAATTATTGTTTAACAAAAATACGTTGATGGAAAAATGCACCAATAAATTATACACATTAAAAATAGATATCTGTAAATAATAGCTACACATTCCTTGTAACGCTCTCAAACATTCCCTAACACTATAGAACTCTGAATTATACAAATTTAACCCATCCCACACATATGAAAGGAAATGAAAGTGAAAATGAAATGTCTGTCCTGAACCCATACCAAGTTGTGGCATATGGGTCCAGGATGGATGGATGGATGGATATGTTGTCACTTTAATTTCTTCTGTGGGTTGGGTTATTTGTTTCAGCCACATTACTGTGACATTATCTTTAAAAACAAATATCTTTGAGAATGACTGCAATCATTAATTTAGACAACCATTCACATGACAAAAGTATGTGATGAGAGGAAGAATAAAACACGAGAGTATAGCTGATCCAGTACCAATTTCAACCAAAATCTATTTCTTGTGATTAAATCACTAACCCCTAAAAAAAAAAAAAACAAGTCCAAAAAATGAAAATGTGAAATGGGCTTCAATTTAAAATCGGTGTGTGTGCACGCTAAGTTTCCTAACGATATGAAAACAACCACTTTCGTTAGTTTAGAAATAATTCTTGCTAACTGAAGAAAATGGGTTCTGTAACAGTGGTCTATATGTACTACGATAATTGGTTCTAATTACTGTGTAACGTGGAGGAGATAGGGTCCCTTGATTGTTTCAAGCATGGGTTAGACATACGAGTGGGATTGAGTGGTTATACATAGGAGCTGCCTCATATGGGCCAATAGGCCTTCTGCAGATACCTTTATTCTTATGTTCTTATGTTTGGCTTGTGGATAAGGACCCTTAATCATAATTCAAGATGAAGGGTTGAACATGTTTCCTTTCACCTGATGCCTCTTTCACTTTACAGTAAAGAGGTACTCAGGATCTATGCAGTACAGACGTACTCAGGAGCTAGACAATATGGGTTGTGTCCTGGGGAAAGTCAGGTCTGATGTGGGTCAAGAGATGAGGACCTAAATGAGCCTAGGTACAAGTTTTCCCACAACATGAATTATAAGTTCGATTCCACCTCATTTTTCACCTTCACAACGACGTGCGGAACTGACTACCAATGAACACAATACTTAACACCCATCATACTATTTCTTCAACAACAATTTTTAGTTATCTTTTGGATACAAGCAAAGTAGTCAGTGCAGTAGGGTGATAACCGAGGGTACCACTGGGTGACCTCCAAGAGCAGAAGAGAAACCTTTGTGAAAGCCCCTGATGCCTTTGTTCCTCTAACAGTAAATAGGTTCACAGTAGCAAGAAAACAGTTGTAGGTTGCATCCATCAGCAACCCCCACACATCAGCCCAGAGGGAACCATCCCAAAACCAGCCAACCAGGCACCATCATCACAGCACACCACTCCACCAACAACCCCTTCCCTCACTCACCACTCCACCAACAACCCCTTCCCTCACTCACCACTCCACCAACAACCCCTTCCCTCACTCACCACTCCACCAACAACCCCTTCCCTCACTCACCACTCCACCAACAACCCCTTCCCTCACTCACCACTCCACCAACAACCCCTTCCCTCACTCACCACTCCACCAACAACCCCTTCCCTCACTCACCACTCCACCAACAACCCCTTCCCTCACTCACCACTCCACCAACAACCCCTTCCCTCACTCACCACTCCACCAACAACCCCTTCCCTCACTCACCACTCCACCAACAACCCCTTCCCTCACTCACCACTCCACCAACAACCCCTTCCCTCACTCACCACTCCACCAACAACCCCTTCCCTCACTCACCACTCCACCAACAACCCCTTCCCTCACTCACCACTCCACCAACAACCCCTTCCCTCACTCACCACTCCACCAACAACCCCTTCCCTCACTCACCACTCCACCAACAACCCCTTCCCTCACTCACCACTCCACCAACAACCCCTTCCCTCACTCACCACTCCACCAGCAACCCCTACCCTTACTCACAACACCATAGAGTATATAGAAGTGTCTCGAGACAAGTGGGAAATTTATTCGAGGGGCTAGGAATAAATAAAGCTGTTGGACCAGATGGAGTTTCACCTTGGGTGCCGAGAGAATGTGCAACTGAGTTCAGCATTCCACTTCAATTGATATCCATACATCTTTTTCCACTGGAATTTTAACAGATGCATATTTAGAAAAAGGCAAACGGTTCGAATCATCATTAATGGAAGCCGAGAAGACCCTCTAAATTATAAGCCAGTATCATTAAGAATGTTCTAGTCAAAACACTAGAAAAAAAATAGTTAAAACCAAATGAGTAGAACACTGAGAGTAATGACATAACAAACCAGACAGTATGGTTTTCGAACAGGAAGATCCTGTGTGACAAATCTACAGTACTTAGTTTTTATGATAGAGCCACTTTCCTGTTCACAAAAAAGAGGTGGTTGGGCTGACTGTCTATCTGGACCTACAATAGACTTTTGACAGAGTCCCACACAAGAGATTGTTTTGGAAACTGGAACATGCGGGAGGGGTGACAGGAAGACTGCTGAAATAGATGAAAATTTTTCTAACTGACAGACATATGAGGGCAGTAATCAGAGAATGTATCTGACTGGAAGTGTGTTACAAGC